TGATGCAATCTATCACGGCGGTGTCATCCGCGAACTTTAGGATGATGTTGTCTTTGTGGGAGGCGACACAGTCGTGGGTGAACAGGGTGTAGAGGATGGGACTGAGGACACATCCCTGTGGGGCGCCAGTGCCAAACATCATTTAACTCTTATACTGAGCTTCCATATGATGCTCTCTTATTCTTTGGCACGTTTGATTGTGTATTACTGATCTCTGAACTCCACTCCATCTTCAGACACGTCTGTCTGCTGAAGAATTACTGCTCTCCATTCCATGTACCCAGTTAACATCAAAAAATGACCAATCATGTTTTATTGCTCGCATTAAGTCACTGAACTGTTTGCCACTTACTATTAGATCTCGCCCCTCCTTTGGCATTTGTAAAACCCATCTTAAGACCCATCATTATCGATACACAAATGGTTTAAAGGTAATAAAACTGCTGATATAGTCAGACTAACAGTGTTAGTAAAACAGTGTCACCAGCTGTTGAGAGACCTCTAAAACGGCTAGTTGTTTAACCTCAGAAGTTTAGTTCTTTCCTTTTATATAAAATAAGATTTAAATACTGGTCTCCTCATGGCAAAACAGTTTTCTCGTTTAATGTCAAATAGGTTCTATCTAAAACCCCATCTTCAGCCAGCAATCCTATAATCAAACTTACCAGGAGTGGTCTGGCAGTGACTGGGCCAAATGGACATGGTAAATTCATCTTGTTCATCAGATGAAGTACCTGAAAATTGGACATGAGTATTATAACAGTGATAATTGTAACTAAAAATTTACACCAAGAGCTGTGTGGGCAATGCTAATATAAATATACTGCTACTCTCAAAGCAGCAGCCTGTAACCCAGGCTCCATATGTAACACAAACTGCAAGGTCTTTTCACTTAAAATACAACCAAGGTGAGATTGATAATATACCAGTGGCAAGGCAGAGTATGAACGCAGCTTCTCTGCAACACACTAGCTCCACCAAGATGCTAACACTGGAAGTATCAGCAGTGAAAATCCAGGAGGCACAGGTCCCTGTGAAATGTTAAACCTATAACTCACGCCTCCCACTTATGGTTTATTATTAAAACTGGCTTCACAAACTGAAATTAAAAGGCAAATAGTTGCTGTTTGATCTTAAAAAGGCTGGATGCAACTCAAAAACCTCTGGGACACTTCATCCAGAATCCCATTTCCATTATACAGTTTGAATCTAAAGGGTAGAAATGCTGCCACATTCAACTTTTTTGTACAAATTTGCACTTCCCAAAAATGGAAAGTATGAATACAGTATTAAAAGTCGCAAAAACACAAGTACATACACCCTGATAACCATCATCTGCATACCAATGGTGTGATATAAAAGAATGTGATATAAAAGAAGTAGTCACTCACTTGGACATAAAACTTTGGCACACTGATGAGGGCATGTGTTATATTTGTCAGAATGCCATTAGAAGGTGGTGGGTATAAATATTTCAGAGTGGGATTTAACTCAAATTTCAACCTGTGGGAGAGAGAGGGAAAAGGCAATTACTTAAAATGAAACTCTGCAGCTGCAAGTTAACTACGGCAACACACTGCTGCCCCAGGAGAAAAACATTTACTCTGTATCTCATCATAACAAGGACGTTTTGTTGTTATAAAGAGATACTTTTCTCATTAAAACAAGAAAGTAGGTGATGAAGCTGACAGGGTGGGGGTGCGGTATTAGTCACACTCGTACAATATGAACTATCAGAATCAGAATCTTTATTGCATTGTATTTTAATACACGAGGGATTTGAGGCCAGTTCATTGGCCCCCAATGTGCAATAAAATAAAATAAAATAAAAATAGAATAAATAAAATCTAAGAGACAAAAACAAAATCTATTTAAAAAAAGAGCTAATAGGTGTGTACAGTAATTATATTTACAAGTTGTTGCACTGAGGTGTTTGCTGTGTCATGTCATACAGACAAACATGATTTAAGTGTTCGTCAGAGTGATGCTTCGGGAGACGAAACTGTCCTTGTGCCAGGTTGTCTTGGTGCACAGTTACCTGTAGCGCCGTCCATAGGGGAGGAGTTCAAACAGTTTGTGTCCAGGATGTGAGGGGTTTTCAGAAATCTTCTCTGCCCTCCTTCTGACCCGTGAGGTGTACAGGTCACCCATGGAGGCAGGCTTGCACCAGTGACCTTTTCTGCAGTCCTGACTGTCCGCTGAAGTCTGTACTTATCCTGTTTGATTGCTGAACCAAAACAGATGGAGGTGCAGAAAACAGACTCAATGATTCCTCTGTAGAACTGTATCAGCAGCTCCTGGGGCAGGTCGAACTTCCTGAGCTGCCGCAGGAAGTACATCCTCTGCTGTGTGTTCTTGGTCATGGTGCTGATGTTGGACGTCCATTTCAGGTCCTGGGAGACAATGGAGCCCAGGAACTTGTAGGCCCCCACTGCTGAGTATGCTGGAGGGTGGGGTCCTTCTGAAGTCCACTGTTATCTCCACTGTTTTGAGTGTGTTCAGCTCCAGGTTGTTGCGACCACACCACAGGACCAGTCATAGGCGTCATTAGACCCTTACTGGGTCACATGCCGCAGTATTGATCTGCTGTGCTCAAGTAAAAATCACACGTTCAAATTTTAACAAGCTCCTATATTAGGCAGTGGATTCATTTAGATCGATAATAACAGGAAAATAATTGATTTGTTCTAATCCAGAATGTCAAATCAAAATACAAGCTGAGGCACAGCAGTCAGGGCTCATACACCACGGTGCGCACACAAATACTGACGTACATACCCACAACGAATGGTGTAGGTCTGCACTGCACTGCACAAGAAGCAATCCCTGTATTGGAGCACCAAAAAAAAAAAAAAAAAAAAAAAAAAAAAAGGAATGACTGCATGTGTGAAGGGGACTAAGTTACGTTTTTGAATAATACCAATAATCTCAAACATAACTGACTCATGTAAATGGACATAAGAAAATTCTTTAGAGGAGGCGGAGACAGTTCTTAATGTATGTTGAAATAAATATTTTCATATAGATTAATATCTCTACATTTTTACCTTAACAAGCCATTATTTCAGTTTCAGTAACAGCAGTGGAACAGTGGGCTAAGCAAGGGAAGTTCACCTAACATAATGTATAGCACATTTCATTCATGCAGCAGACACTCAAGTAAATAATTGTGCGATTTGAGTAATGGGGACCAGCTGTTCAACCTCCTGCCTGTACACAGACTCATCACCATCATGGATGACACTGATGAATTTAACATAGGAGGTGCAATCGTTGGTGTAAAGGGAAAAAAGCAGTGGGGAGAGCACACATCCCTGGGGGGTGCCTGTGTTGATATTCCAGGTGCTGGATGTGGTTTTCCCCAGCCTTACCTGTTGCCTCCTGTCTGTCAGAAAGCTGGTGATCCACTGACAGGTGGGGGCAGGCACAATGAGCTGGGTCAGTTTAGAGTGGAGGATGTCCGGGATGTCCAGCCTCTCTCGAGGAGTAAAGTTCCAGTCGGTCAGTCTCGAAGAAATTCTGGCAAACCGTCCGGCGCCTCAGGAGGGGGAAGCAGTGCCCTGCCAAAACTGTTTACAGTGGAGGTGGGCAGCTGCTGACCTCAACTGGGGACACTGTCGGACGGTGGAAAGAATACTTCGAGGATCTCCTCAATCCCGGTGCCATGTCTTCCGATGAGGAAGCAGAGGCTGACTGTGTTCATCATGTTAATGCTGCAGCTGGTAAAGGTGGAGCTGATGGTAACTACCTTATATACTTATACTGTGAAGTACTTTCCATTCTGCTGGGTAGCTGGTGGATTTCCCACCAGGATCCATAGAGTCTGATGGTTCTACTGGATTTGGTTTGATTCATCTGACTCTGAAATATAGTGACAGGCCAAGTATGAAGTAGCAGGAGCTGGAAGTACGACCTGCCACTAAACTCTGTTGGTGAGTGACCTGCCTGTAGCATGACCGATCAGAACATGTGTAGTGTATTTTTTTTGATTTGTCATGGTTTATAAGCTGCTTTCACATGTTGTTTTGTGTGCCTACGTGTAATTGTTTACATGGACTTGGTGTCGGATCAGCAGCATCTCTCTCATCAACACCCTCCCACAGCAACGACAAACAACTTCTGAAACAAACCTCGTGAAATTCCTAAATTTCCTAGTAAGTAGTAACAAGAAGCAGCAGCCAGTAAATATCTAGTTTATATCTTGTAATTACTTAAAATGAACAACTTAATAGAGTTGCCATTGATTATTGGAAAACTAAGAGGAAGGGGGATTGAAATATTGAAACATACCTCAGTGTGTGTGTGTGTGTGTGAGAGAGAAGTTACAGAAGGTAAAGAGAAGAGTAAGGAAGGGGGTTTGTGTGGGAATCCACTTGGTTGAATTGGTTTTGTGTGTGAGAGCCTGCCACCTGGCTGGCGAGCAATGCAGCGGGAGGGAGCTGATGATCTACACTGTACACAATTAATGTGAGTGCTTCCTGGCCTGAAATAATGCACGAACACACACATGCACACAAACTACAGTCTGCATTAATCATCTTAAAATATTTTCTGCAATGTCCAAAATTGATAAGGAACCTTGAAGCCCATTTTCTTCTTACGATTTAGATTATGTCCTTAAACAATCTGTGGTTTAGATGAGCAAAGGGATCACTTTTAGTTGCCAGACTGGCACAGTTAGAGAGCAACTGGTGAGCACAGTAGAGGATTTAATAACTAAAGAGTCAGATATTTTCCTCAGGAGGTGGTGGAGACCAAAAACAGAGCTAAAAGAGAGAGAATATTGTACTTTTTACTCCTCTCAATCAATCTGACAGCCATAAGAGTATAAGAAGAGTTACATATCACCAGTTTATCAAATATTATTCATGATTATTATTTATCATTCAAGTGTATTTGTCATCAGAGTAGAACCGCTGTGGTGGTTTGGGCATCTGTTTCAGATGCCTCCTGGGTGCCTTCCTAGGGAGGTGTTCCGGGCATGTCCCACCAGGAGGAGCCCTCAGGGAAGACCCAGGACATGCTGGAGGGACTACGTCTCCCGGCATTCCCCAGGAGGAGCTGGAGGAAGTGTCTAGGGAGAGGGAAGTCTGTGCATCTTTGCTTAGACTGCTGCCCCCGCGACCCAGTCCCGGATAAGCGGAGGAAAATGGATAGATGGATGTCTGGGATGATGCTGTTGAACGTTGAACTAAAGTCCCAAAGAGGATCCGTGCATAGGTCCATGGGGAGTCAGGGTGTTGCAGGATATAATGATGAATACTGTGCACAGGACTTGAAAGTCAATAAGTAGGCTACTTTATAGACTTAGAGACACATATTATAAAATCTAAACAATTTCCATAAAATAATGCTAAACTTATTAAAAGCATTTGAGGCTAAGCTTAAAAATATTCAGGGCTGAAGCCTTTAAATGACTGGACCTAACGACACCACTGAACACTTCCCATTCAATGTGACGGTGCTTGGGAGGATCTGCCAGGAACAATGGGATAAACTTTCCGAACCCAGGTGTGTAAAGACTTACCCTAAAAGACTCCAAGCTGTAACTACAGCCGATGTGGCTTTTCCAAAGCACAGGATTAAAGCTCTCAATGCTTTTGTAAATGAGTTTTTACTTTTGATTAGCCATAATGTCTGAAACTAGTCTTCTCTTTGTTGCTGTGGGTTATTGATGGTTAACTGATGGGCAAAAATCTAAATTAATCAATTAAAATTAAATATACAGTCCAATAAATTGCAAAACGTAGAGTGGTCTGATCACTTTACAAAGTGACTGTATATTCTAAACTCACCCGAGACTAGGTGCGATGCTGGTCTCAATGAGGGGAATGTTTGGCTGTTTGGTATCATATTTCTTCTGCTCTTCTTTAACAAGCTTACGACTGCAGACAAAAAAAAGCATTAAAACACGCTCTGCTGTGCTTACAACATGGCATGTAGATCACTACAACAGAGGCCAATCTCTAGCTCTTTCTCACAGGGATGTTAACAGTCCATACTTTTAACATACTTCAATAGTGCTTCTTAATTCATATGATTCGGCCATCTTACCTGTCTGATACCGGTGGGTCTTTTAACACCGTCACACAATCTTGGCCTTTGGCAAACTCTGCAACAAGTCTGTGATCAAGAAGCTCTAACTGATGGAGCCTGCTGAGAGCCTGAAACATTTGTGCCAGAGAGAGAACACCACTTAGAGCAGATGAAGAAAGCATCCAATTGTGCATTATTATTAAGTCTATACTATATATATAATTGGATGGCTTCCTGATACTTTAGATATTTGAATTTACTACAGAAAAAAACTCACTTTTGCTGCTGACTCTTCACTTCTAAAGGTTGCAAAGGATGCATGTTTCTGTGGAAAGTGAGAAATCGCTATATAAATCACAGAATGGACAGCAAACCAACTGAATTGCAGAAGTATCTAGGCTAACAGAGCATCTGTGAGGCACAACCTACCAAGTGACCCGTGTTTGAGAAGACCCGGACTGATTCGGCTCCAAAATACTTCAGGAGGTCCTCCTTCTCGTCCTGGCTGAGCTCAGGGGGTAAGTGGCGGACAAGCAGCGTTCTACTGCGCTTTGCTTGGACCAAATCCACAATTGTGTCCATTTCACTGCTGGACAGAAGGCAGAGAATTGTTAACTCTCGCAGTTAAGCAAATGTCTTTACAAGACAGTGCTAACAGTTTCACAAGATGCAGGGTAACCAGAAAACCAGAAACACCCCATCAATGTGATTAGGTCTGAAACTAACAAGCATCTTCTTTATCAAGTATTCTACTGATCTGCAATAATTAACTGATTATATGTTCTCAACTACACTTATCCCACCATTATCGTCTTCAGGTCTGGGGAGCCTGAATATTACCAATGTAGGTCAAATCAATATACGTTACAGTCTGCGCTCAATTAAAATATGCGTTTAACAAGTTCTTCACACAAAACGAGAGAAGGCAAATGCGAGGCAGGCCGAAATAAAGATTCACTGACTGGCCCCTTTTTGTTTTAGAGACTGAAAACGGGTGTCACGGACGTGAACACCACAGGAAGAAAAGTTATAAAAGCCCAGAGCTGCCATCCCCACAGAGTTCCCTCTAAAACCGAACTTGCTCAAATGCCTTTGGCCACTTTACTGTAAAACACATCTCGACCCACAAGTGAAAACCAGTCGTGGTGAGTTCTTAAATAACATGTTTTATCAGATGTGTATGTTTTTAGGAAGGCAAGGTCAGGTTAAATCGCCTTTTGGTATAATGAGAACAGTACTACACTAACTTACCTATTAGCTCAGTGCTAATCCTACACGAAGCTAAGTTGTACAGACCTTTTACCAAATAAATGTTGCCAAATAAATCGAGCAAATGCAAAGGCATTATATGCAGCTAACAGTACAAACCAAATAACATTTTAACCAAATAATTCAAAGCTCAAATAAGACATTGAACAGCATACCTTTCCTGTACAGCAACAAACACAAACAGTTTTTCTTCTGCTTCTTTTTCCTTTTCCTTTCACTGGCAAATCAACGTAAAGGTACAGTACCGCCACCTACCGAGCTGGAGGTCGGTAGGTGTCAGAAAAGGAGAAAAAGAAAAGGAACTTAGCTCTAGTAGCCCCGTGTCCTTGAGGTACAGTATTTAATGACCTGCTTGTGTAGCGGAGTTATAATTCCATTTGCCATAACCTAAATAATTTGTTGCAATGGCATTTTATTTTGTTTGTTCCTCCGGAAGTGAGGTGTGTGTGGTGGTAATACCAGTAGGGCCGAGCTCCAAATGCAGCTATAGCCAATTGCTGCGCCCACTTTGTGAATGGGCGCGCCCATAGCCACTGGGCGCAAAATTTTGAATGTTGTTTGTGCATTGTAACGTAAAAATTACAGACCTGTTCCTTTACTTAGCTTTTGTGACAAGTTTAAGGTAGGTTACACTGTTCTTTTATTCTGTGTTTTCATTATGTATTAAGATAGTATATTTGACAAAGGTTAGACGCGCTAACGTTGTCACTGTATTGTACTTTGAGACAGAAGGTCGCTCAGTGAAATAACCAACATTATAAATACGGTGGTGTGTTGTCATTACAGTTTGTGTTTACATTGTGATCACGACATGATCACTGTTGTTTATCGCTGTTGCAAAGGTACATGGCTAATAATACTGGGTCTGTCTATAACTAATAAACGTTATAATAATGAGTGATATCTGTGTTCATGTGTGAGCCAAATAATGGAGCTTCATAGCATTAACGTTAGTATATTTTACGAAGGTTAGACACGCTAACGTTACTGTAGTGTACTGTACATATTGTGT